CACAGAGTTGGAGTCTAAGCCTCCTTCACATTTTCTTGTTCTTTTTTGGGCATTGGTTTTTAAACACAGCATCGTGGCCACCACTGCTTTTTGTAGTCCTGTTTCTAATCTCGACTCCTTTAGCCCGTTTAAGATGAATGGTATAATTTCAAAGCATATAAAAGAATATTGGGAATTTTTGTTTGCATTTCTGATTTGGTTATACTTGTGTCTCATATTTGTTCGTTACTTGAAGAAAAAATATTCCTGAAATTAATCAGCTTCTTTAGGAAGCCGACATGTCGTAGGTACCTAAGTGTGGACCCATGACTAGGTTACGTCAATCCCTGCTGGCTTTAAAATTTGTGTGATCTTCTTCAAGAAGTTTGGCAGGTTTTTTTTTTTCTTTCTTTCTTTTTTTTTTACTTTTTGGGTAAATGAAACATGATTATATTCTCACTGTAAAAATTTAAATATTATAGAAAAATTCTGGTGTAAAAAAGTGGAAGTCTTTCAACAACCCCTAATTCTCAAATTGAATTCCTTTCCCCAAGCAGACCACTCTGTGAGCTGTGAACCTTCCAAAACATTACCTGTGGATTTACGCACACATGTATGTGCATATGCCAATTACAGGGCTTTACATACAGTAAATCATCATGTACATAGTCAGTAGCTTTTTTCACATGACAGTTTGTTTTGGAGATCTTCCCATGTGAGTTCCCTAATGGTGGACATTTAGGTTGTTTCTAATTATTTGCTCTTACAAACAGTGCTATAATTAACATCCTTGTAAATGTCTCTTTGTGCATATGGGCAAGCATTTCTTTAGGGTAGCTATCTATGGTTTGGCAATTTCTACTGTCTTTAATTGCATTGCCTGGTATCTGGCAGACGATCTTCTGCATGTACAATAACTTTTCATGTCCGTGCTCCATTATAGTGTAAGTTTTAGAAAGATGTTTTAGGCAACAATTAGGAATCTAAGTTTAAGTTCAAATTCTGTATGGATTGCTGTGGTCAGCTGAGGTGACACTTGAATGAATGGGTACCTCTACACATGGCTGAATTCACACACGTACAGGCAATTGTGTTGAGTAGCAGGTAAGGTTCCCTTCTCTGCCAACTTTCATTGTAAGGCACATCATGGTTTTTAAAACATTAAAATATGGGAAAGTGCATTGTAGAATTGAGGAGTTATGTAGTTTATTTTCCCCAAATCAGTAGCCCATTGCTACTGATGGTCCTTTCCCTGTGAGTTGATAGAACTGCTTTACCACCAATTAATTTCCCCGACAGATGGGTGTGTTACAGGACTAGTGCACTGCATTGATCTGCTTGTCTATTCCTGCCCTAGTTCAGGGGGCAGGCTCCCCTGTGATCTTTTGGAGAACTTTCTTGCACATTTGTCTTTCTGTCTACTGCTCTTTCTTCCTCCCCACACTGCCCCTTTTACACTGGGTGCTTCATTAGCTTTTCACAATCTGCATGATTTTGCATCGCAATGGGTCGGATGTGAGAACATCTGCAGCAGGCAAGAGCAAATTCTCTTCAGGACTTAACACTGAGCTTGCCATCATCAAGAAGCAATGTCTTTCTCTCTCCTTCTCTTTCTCTCTCTCATTCCTTGACATCTCCCACATTGCTGCTCAAACATCAGTTATGCCTGAGTCTTGAATGGTGTCAATCTGAGTTGAAAATGTGCCAGCTTCCTTAACATCATCACTAACAGGCTGCTTAATGAACCTGCTGATACCATCAATAGTAGATCTTGCTGGTGTGTTGGAGAGGAGACCCGTGCCCCAGGGTTGTGCGTGCTCTCGTTCTCTCTCTGTCTCTGTTTTTTCTTTTTTTTTTCTCTCTTTCTCTCTCTGTCTCTCTCTGTATCATTTGCTTAGGCTCTCAGTGTCCCTGTCACAGGAGCTGGACTTGCCAGGAGTGGGATGGGAAGGATCAGGGACAGTTTGAAAAGGATATGGCAGAATTCAAAGTTCGAGATGAGCTCATGGAAATGAAATCACTATAACAGGCTGGCATTCCCATTGCTCAAGGGCATGGATGGCTGGTAGCCTGTGCATACGGTAGGTGCTCAATAAAGGCCAACCAATGCACACAGTCAACAGAAGAGATTGTAGGTCATGTGCCATCTATGTAGGCTGTAAGAATTGCCTGTTTCAAGGGAGGAGCCTGGGGGAGTACCATCATTCTGAGATGACTTTTAGGGTTTTCTCTGTCTTTTTTCCATCCAGGCAGCTTCAGAAATGTCCTGGAGGGGCTGGATGAGGGGAAGGAGGCTGGGTTTTCACTTCCTTTCATGCTTCATCTTTCATCTCAGTGGTTTTATGTTTGAACCAAAGCTGTCCTGCTCGCCCCATGTTTAATGTTTGGAGATTACAAGAAGGGAGTGAGATGCCATTGTGAGTCAGGGCTGGTCCACCACCACCTCCAGATCCACACTCTCTCTTCTCTTTGTCTCCCCTGTGCATACACACACAAAATCGGGGCTAGAGATGTTTCAGCTGTCCCCAGCTTCCCCTGACTTGGCATGGGCACAGGTGCAGAGGCTGACATTTTGTGTGAGCTCAGCCAGCACCCAGAAATCCTGTGGAGACCTTAAATTCTGCCCCTCCTTTTATGCCAGGAGAAGCCGAGGTGGGGTTGGGGTGGCAATGGCTCAAGTCCCCAGAGTGAGCTGGTAGCTCCCGACCTTAGCAGGATGCTCATCTCCTGGACCACATTCCTGTATCTTTGCCTTTCCGGGAGTGGCGGCGGTGGTGGTATGGTGGACAGCTTCCTCAGAGGGCTGGGATTGATGCCTTTCAGGGCAGAAAACCACACTATCCTCTCAATGGTTTTCTCAGGTCTCCTGGGAACCGAGAGCCTGGCAGCCCCAAGGGCATGGGGGATGCATAGCCTCCCTATGGCCACTAGAGGGCGTACCACTAACACAGAGGCCAGGTGGCTGCTTCCCAAGGCTACCCTGGGGGACCCTTCTGGGCCCTGAGCCCTGGGCGCTTGGGGCTGAGTGGGGAGAGATATGGAGCCAGAATTGGAACCCAAGCCCGATGGCCCCAAACCCAGGCTCCCAACCCTTCCTGGTCATGCCCTGCTAACCAGATCTCCTTTACCTTGGATTCAGCTTCCTAATTCCATCTGTCGCTGCCTATGGTGAAAACGAGGGTTTCTGAATGTCAGCAATGTTGACATATTTGGGGGCCAGATGATCCTTTGGTGAGGGGACTGTCCTGTGCCTTGCGGGATGTTTAGCAGCACCCCTGGCCTCTGTCCACTCAGATGCCTGCAGCAACCCCCGACCCCTAGATCTCAGTCACTGAAAATGCCCCCAGACATGGCCAAATGCCCCACAAAACCGCCCCTGGCAGACAGCGGCTCTTTAGGGCAGGTGAGCATGCCTGTTGTGGGGCAGGAGAGCCCGGGACGCAGAGGGACTGCCCATGGTTCCCACTGCGCTGAGCGTCGGTGGTAGCAGAAGAGATACTCGAAGATGGCGTGTGTGCTCTAAATACATTTTAGAACTGTATTTGGTCTCCTGCTTTTCTTCTCCAAAGACTGCAGAGCCTCTCGGTCTTCCCCTGTTTATTCCACCTCCCCATTTTAACGAAACAGGCGACTGAGGCCCCCGGGGTCTCAAGCCACACGTCACCCACAGAACCCTGTGCCCCAGCTGTGAGCACCCTGGACCGCTTGTTGGCTCAGGCCCCAGGAGCATCTGTGGTCTCCCTCCCACTCCGCCTGCCCACTAGGCCCCACCACCCTCCAGCTCCCCAAACCCTGGTGCCCCCCCCACTGGAGGGAGGGGGAAGCAGCAGGTGTTGATGCTAATCAGCGTTCACAGCCCAGAACTGCAGTCGCTCCCAGGCTCACACACTCCCCAAAATTAAACACTCATTATACAAAATTAATTGACATTAATTAGCAAAAATTAAAACTTTAAACACAGCAAGGCGCTTTGGGGGGAGGAGTGAAGCAGGCAGACTCCGCATTTGTCACCCCCCACTCCCCACCTGCCCACCCTTCCCAGGTCCCCCCACTTCCATCCTGAAGCAGGGCTGGGAGAGTTCAGGCGGGGTCAACACCCACACTGTACCGGGCCACGGGGCCTGGCCCCGTCGTGTGAGTTCCAGACTGGGGGAGCAGAGAGAGGATCCCTGAGCTAGTCTGGTGGCCCCAGACTTCACCAACCAGTGCTTCACTAAGGAGCCGGGAACCCTCCCCTCAGCCCAGGTCCCCAAGATCTCAGATGGTGGAGGGGCCTAGCCAAAGGCAGGAATTCAACCATAGGAAGCAAGAATGGAGAAGGTCTGCCTTTAACTCAGCCCGCCGCTCCCCCCAACCCTCCTGCCCGCTGGGTATTCAGAGGCAGAGGTGCTGTAGCCTTTCTGCTCTGTCCCACTCTGCTGTGTGACCTCAAATAAGTCACTCTTCTCTGAGCCTCAGTGTTCCATCCATATGATGAGGGGGTGGTGCTGGGTGAACACTGAGGTTTCTGCCTCTCTGGCACCTGCTGTCAGGGAGGCAAATTTCTGAGAACTTGATTCACTCACAGACTGGAGGGGCTGGATGTGAGACAGGCAGTTCAAGAGGATGGGGCAGCCCAAGGGCCCCATTGATGGTGGAACATCAGGCCTCTCGGGGTCAGGGGGGATGCAACTTCAGGCCAGAGAGCCCTCCTAGATGGACACCCGCTTTGCCTGCCTAGACAGTCTGCCCTGGAGGGGAGGATAGCAATCCCTCGGTAAGTGGCCGCTTTCTGAGGCAGAACGGGTGTCCTCCCTAATACCTGTTCTTTTCTACTTCTGCTTACCAGGTTCCCAAGGTCCCCCAGATCCCTCAGCAGGCTGATAGGCGGGTGGACAACAGAACCACCCCTTCCCCAAGCTTTGCCCATGCATTTGAACACAGAGCCCCATGGCTTGGGTAGGGAGGAGCGCAGTGACCTCCCTCCAGGTGGAATGCCATCTTCCTCCTCATCCTGCTCTCTGCATCCCCTCTCTCTGCAGCCAGTGCCAATATCTGCAACGTGGTCCTGATGCGGTATGGGGAGCTGGAGGAAGGGATTGATGTCCTGGACAGCGATGGCAACCTCGTGGGCTCCTCCAAGATCGCAGCCAGACACGTGGGTCTGGGGGCTTGCAGGGTTGGGGAGGCCAGCAACAGGGAGGGGAGTAGTTTTCCCTTAGCGTGTGTCTTCCACAGGCTTCTATCCGGAGTACCCTTGCTTTGGCCTCTTGATGTCTCTTCTCACCCTGCCGCCACCTCCAATCTGCATGAGTCTGGGCCTCTGGCCTCCTGCCTGTTCCCCTGGACATGGCCTTGCTGCCGTGAAAAGTCCCTGTCTCTTGTTGCAGCCCCTCAGGACCCAGCTTCTAGCTTGTCTCACCCAGAGGAGGTGTTAATTGGTGAGGGCAGAGGAGACTCCCTCAGAGCTCTCTTCCCCCTCCCTCTGCCCAGGGCCCTGCCTCCCAGGCCTTCACATCCTCTTGAGTAAGCCAAGGAAAGCTTGGGAGGCCAGTGGTTTGTGGTTCTGGGTTAACAGGCACTTCTGCAGGTGAGAGCTCACCTGGGAGTGAGTGCCGTGCGTGAGGTCGAGGGATTTGAGGCTTGCAGAGGTTTGGAGGATATTTTGTTACAAGACCTTCTTTCACCTCTGGTTTCATAGGCTCAGCCACTCTAGCAATTGCAGTTTAAAAAATGAAAACACGGGCTGGTCACGGTAGCTCATGTCTGTAATTCTAGCACTTTGGGAGGCCAAAGTGGGTGGATCGCCTGAGGTCAGGAGTTCGAGACCACCCTGGCCAATATGGCAAAACCCTGTCTCTGCTAAAAATGCAAAAATTAGCCGGGCGTGGTGGTGGGCACCTATAATCCCAGCTACTCAGGAGGCACAGGCAGGAGAATTGCTTGAACCCGGAGGGTAGAAGTTGCAGCCGAGATCACGCCACTGCATTCCAGCCTGGGTGAAAGAGTGAAACTCCATCTCAAAGGAAAAAAAAAAAAAGAAAACACAGTCCATGTGTACATCTCCCTCTGCTTTCCTAGCCTTTGTCCTGATGGTGGTTAGTGGCTCCTCTTGCTGCCCCCTGGGCTCTGGCTTCTGTGCTGGGCATGGGGCAGGGTGGGTGCTGGCGGGGAGCCATGAGGTAGTCGAGCATGCATCCCTGTTCCAGCCACTGTCCTCATCAGCTCCCATGAGGGCCCCAGTCATGTGGTCTTCTCAATCAGACTTTGGTCTAGGAAGAGCTCTCTCCAAGTCAGTGCCCCTCCAAGGTTTTTAGGGCAAGGGGTTGGGGGTGTCATGCCTACATTGCATCCTCTGCTCCCTGCACTGGCACTGGACCCTCCTGTCATTCCCATACGTGTTCTGGAGACTAGAGGGGCCTCTCCCAGGCCTTCCTGAGGCTGACCATGAAGAGCCCAGGTTCCATGGGAGAAATGTTCAGCCCTGAGCCCATCATGAGAGTGGATTTAGCCTCAGTTTCCCACCTGTCCTCAACTTCCTATCCCAGCCTTGTTCTTTTTCCCCAACCCCCCTGAGGGAGGACAGCCGTGATAACTCCTCTCAGCGTTACACAGCAAGAAAACCCAGGCGGCCTGAGCTCCCTTCAGCCTGGCTTGCTTAGTTCTTTGCTGTCTGGGGAAGGACTCCAGGCATCTGTGGGCTGTGAGCCGCTCCTGGAGCCTCTTCTGGGGACCGGAGCTTGTGGGGTTAAAGGAACTCACCACAGTGGCTGTCGGAGCTCAGAATTGCCACTGAGCTGTGCTGTGGCCAGGGACACCGCTACCCCAGGAATCCCTTGGGAGCCCCTGGAGCAAGGCCCCAGGCAGATCCTCAGGGAAACCCTGCAGATGCCCTACTGAAGCATACCTCCCTTATAGAACCAACCTCTTGTCACTGAGACTCATCCAGAGCCAAGAGACACAAGATCTTGCAAATCTTTGTCTTTAAGAGATTTAAAAAAAAAAAACAGAAAACAAAAAGGAGGCTGGGTGCGGTGTCTCACACCTGTAATCCCAGCATTTTGGAGGCTGAGGTGGGCGGATGACCTGAGGTCAGGAGTTTGAGACTAGCCTGGCCAACATGGCGAAACCGCATCTCGACTAAAAAATGCAAAAATTAGCTGGGTGTGGTGGAGTGTGCCTGTAATCCCAGCTACTCAGGAGGCTAAGGCTGGAGAATTGCTTGAACCCAGGAGGCGGAGGTTGCAGTGAGCTGAGATCACGCCACTGCACTCCAGCCTGGGCAACAGAGGAAGACCCTGTCTCAAAAACAAACAAACAAACAAAAAACACCAACAACAAAAATGGTAAATTCCAGAAGCTCAGTCCTCCTTTGGCTCCATGAGCCCTACTGGCTCAACAGGCCCCAGCTGTGTGTGCCGGCCTTGCTTTTAGAGCTGCTCCCCAGCCCCTATGCACACAGTATGTGAGGCTGTGCCCACCATCCCTAGGGTGCTCGACCACCTCCCTGAGCACTGCCCTTTCCTGGGGCTGCCTGGGTGTTCCCCACGTGTGGCAGGTGGTGGGAATCTGCTCTTCTCAAATGTGTGTGGTAAGAACAACAGTGGAAGCCGGGCATGGTGGCTCACGCCTGTAATCTCAGTACTTTGGGATGCTGAGGCAGGCAGATCACCTGAGGTCAGGAGTTTGAGACCAGCCTGGCCAACAAGGCGAAACCCCATCCCTTCCCTACTAAAAATACAAAAATTAGCCAGGCTTGGTAGTGTGCACCTGTAATCCCAGCTACTCAGGAGGCTGAGACAGGAGAATCACTTGAACTTGGAAGCGGAGGTTGAAGTGAGCTGGGTTCACACCACTGCACTCCAGCCTGGGAGACAGAGCAAGACTCTGTCTAAAAAAAGAAAGAAAGAAAGAAAAAAGGAGACCAGTGTTTTTGGTTGTGTGGAATGCAGCTTCCTGAGCAATCCCATGAATAATGCCATTCAGACACACCTGTGTTGTGGTGGCACACACCTAGGGTGGGTGTGCTGTCCCGTCCCCGGCCATCAGGCCCCTCTTACCACAGCCTCTGCCTGCCCCTCAGGCCCTGCTGGAGACGGCGCTGACGCGAGTGGTCCTGCCCATGCCCATCCTGGTGCTACCCCCGATCGTCATGTCCATGCTGGAGAAGTGAGTTGGGGCAGCCAGCATGGAGAGGCCACTGTGGGGGAGGAGGAGGAGAAGGAGGGGGAACCAGCTGGCCCAGGCAAGGGATGAGGGGGCGGCAGGAAGCCTGCCCGAGTTTGTGTAGAGGGTGGAAGGTGTCTTGCTCCGTCTTGGACTCTCCAGGTAGTGCCACGGAATCACTCTGTGAGAATTCTTGGACTTTCACTATGCAGGACCCTGGGCTAGGTGCCGCAAGGGATACCAAGATGACAGCGCTGGCCCTCCCCTGAGGAGCTGGCAGTTCTGGGGTGTGTGTGTGTGTGCACATAGGCTCACATGCTCTCAGTGAATAGTGCAGGACCATTTGTGAAGGCAGAGTCTGAGGATTCAGGTAGGAAGACTAGATTCGGGTAGGCATCTGCTGTGGGGCAAATCACCACCTTACTGAGCCTCAGTTTCTCTGCTTGTAAAATACAAATAGTAATAGCCTCCTGCCCCCTCAGAGGGATGTTCCAAGCACTCATATCTGTCATGACTGTAAAGAAATGAGGGAGCATAATAACAGTAGTGGAGTGATTCTATTAACAAATGAGTAAGTGCGAAACTGAAGGGGCGGACTGGAAGGCTGCCCGGAGAGGGCAGGCCCTGGGAGAAGGCAAGGGGCAGGGGAGGGTCCCCTAGGTGGAGGGAGCCTGGAGGTACAGACCCGTGGCTTGTCAGTTGACAGCAAGGAGACCCTACCCCATGGGGACACCTCAACACAGCAGCTGGAATTGGGGGCGTGTGGTATAAGGACGGGGATAGGGGGTACTCCATCTGGGGTTATGGGGCAAAGGATTCTTCCCTGTTTGGGGACTTTCTTACTCCCACAGTATGAATTATAATAACAAATGACATTTATTAAGCACTTGTATATCGCAGTCCTCTCTCAGTCAGGTTTCTGCCCGAATGCCGCCTCCTCAAAGAGGCCTTCCCTGACCACCCCATCAGAAGTCACCATTTCTCACTATTTCCTTTCCCTTGAGTCCTTTATTTTTCTTACAGCCCTTATCCATATCTGAGATTGTTCCTCTAGTTGTGCATTTTCTGTCTGCTCTACTAGAATGTCATCTCCATGAGGCACGTCCATCTTTTTGTTCACTGCCCTGCCCAGCTTCTAGCACAGTTCCTGCCACAGAGTAGATGCTCAGTAAGTGTTTGTTGAAAGGATGAATGAGTGAGTGAATGAATCCTCTCATTTCCCTTCAGGACAGCACAATAAGGTAAGTATAATATCCTCATTCTACAGCTGAGGAGAGGAAGGCAAAGACAGGCTATATCATCCACTTACGGTCACGTACTAGGAAATAGCAGAGCCAGTGGTGGCTCAGGAGTGCAGCTGCAAATCTTAGTCTCTTCAAACCACACTGGCTGCCTCTTACATCTTCAGGTCACAACCCACAATCCTGTGTTTGAGCCCTGCCCTGTGTGGAAATGGGAAGAGTAGATTTGGGGTCTGATCTCAGGAAGCCTGTATGTTTATAAGGGTGATGGGCAAGACCCGTTACCCAGGTCAGCTGCAGGTGAGAGCAGGCAGTGTGTGAACTTGGCCAAGGTGACCTTGAGAAGAGGGAGCACCGTGGGACCGGCAGCAAGGAGGGCTGGTCCCCAGAGAGGGGCTGTGGCCGACCCAGAGAGCAGGATAGAATTTTTGTGGAAGGGCGGGCTTTCTGGGCAGGGTGTAGGCTTGTGGTGTGGACACTGAGGTGTCCAGCCTGGCCATAATGAAGTGTGCTCATGGGGCCAGCTGAGGAAGGGTCCTGTGTGCCCAGCTGAGATGATCCCTCTCTCACCCTAGAAAAGGGCAGAGGCTCTGGGGGTTCCTGAGCATGGGCATGGTATGGTGAGCGCTGGGATTAAGAAAATTCGCGTGGTATGAAAGTTTGCAACAGACAAAAATAAACAGGGCAGGGTCTTTCGTGCCCCTGACTCTCGTATACATAGCCCCTTCGTGAACTGAAGTTGCCCCTGAATACCAGTGACTGCAAGTACATACAGGGAGCCAGCGGGGCAAGGTGGTTCTTCTGTCCTTGAGACGACTGAGTCCTGAACCTTGGAATTCTGAAGCAGGTTCAGTGAGCAGCGCTTACTCTGTTACTTGCACCACAAGTCCAGTGAGGTAGAACACTTGCACGAGTCAAGCGAAGCAACTTTATTACTCACAGATAGGCCTCGGGGACAATGGACGCCTACCACTCAAGGCAAGCTGGTGCCCCACGGCTCGAGAAAGCTGCCCAGGGAGGATGGAGTCTCCTCCACCCGCGTACCACATCACACTGCAACTGAGGGAGCCTGGGAGCACTCCACCCTGGGGTTTCCTCCCTGGGGACATCAGCTTGCTGTGCTAAAGTGTTGCAGGACATCCTGTTCCAGAAGAGGTGGGAACATGAGCCCAGGCTGTCCCAGACAAGCCCTCCTTATCTCAAGATGTTGCATTCCCAACACATCCTACAGCTATCCTGAGAACTACAAGAAGGCGGGGGTGGGGTGTGAAGCTGGGTCAGCTATGCTCATCCAGGGACCTGTCCTTCTGCAAGAATTTGGGGGAAAACATGCTCTGCGATGCCTTCCCAGTTGGCAGAGATATTTGCAGAAAGTGGAATGATGGTTAGTGTCCCATTAACTTGGGGGCTTAAACTTGGCTTTGGGAGTCATGGTGAAACAGGAAAAGTTCCCTTGTCCCCCTCAAAGGGAGTGTGATGGGGGTGTGGCTCACTTCTTCAGGGCCCTGCTGCTCAAACCTCTAAGGGAGCATACAGACGTTGGGGAGGCTGTGGGGCTCCGACCCCACCGCAGTGTCTGGGGGTGAATGTTTACAGCTGAAGCCCCAGTATCGCGAGGACAGAAGGCTTTCTGTATCCCGGGATTTCTTGCCTTGGTGTACTGAAAGAATTGGGTCACACATGGGCTTGGAGATTGAGTGCAAGGTTTCATTGAGTGGAAGTAGCTCTCAGCAGACTGGGGAGCCAGAAGGGAGATTGGTTTTCCCCTGGAGTTGGGCTGCTTGGTGGCCCAGGCTGTCCTCTGACTGCCCCAGCCAAACTCCGCATCGTTCTGCCAGTTGGTGGCCTGCCAGCATCTGTCTGTGTGCCCTTCTGCCAGCGTGCTCCCCTCGATGTCTTGCTGTCCAGCTGCTTGTGTGTTCCTCCACTGATGTGCTCCTCTGGTCGTCCAGCTTTAGGCACAGGATCAGGGGGTGTGGCAGGCCAGGGTGGTCTTGGGAAATGCAACATTTGGGCAGGAAAACAAAAATGCCTGTCCTCAGTTAGGTCCGTGGGCACAGGCCTGGGGGTGGAGCCCTAGCCAGAGACCACGCCCTTCCCTTCCCCCTTCTGTATCCATGGGAAGTGGGGTGATTATTCTGGGTCTGAACCTGCCCAGCCTGGGACCTCCCTAGTGTCTGGGATGCCACATACTCTCACATTTCAGCCTCCAAAGGAGCCCCTCCGATAAGGTGATAAGAGGTCAGAGTTTGGTGCTGTTGGCAGCCTCATGTTTCATTGATCCTTCTCTGGAGTTCCTTGGAGGGTCCCTGGGGAAAACAAAAGTTCAGCCCAGGGTCCCCCAAGAAGATGAAGATGAATTAAGACCCAGTTTGTGACCTTGGAGGCTTGCCAATCTCACATGTACTCTGGAAGTGCAGGGACTGTGTGGTAGGAGAGGCAGAGCAATGTGGCAGAGTGAGCTGAGGCTCTGGTAGGAAAACAAAATCTAGGTTCCTGCTCCACCTCTTTCTGCCAGTCTGATGTGGTTGTGGAGCCTCCCTCAGCCTCAGTTTCCCACCTGGAAAATGAGGACACTGCCCCTTCATCACCTTGTTTGTTGGGGCTTTGCATTTTGCACCATCCAGCAGCTCTTCGGCTCTTTGCAGGGTCCCTGCCACGCACCCTGCCTTTGGGTGCAGGGGCACTAGTGCAGGGCTTCCGCTGAGGAGGCTGAAGAGGAAGGCAGCCCCCACCCTTGGGGAGCCCCTGTTGGGTGAGGGAGTCGGGACAGCCAAGGAAAAAAGACAAAAGAACACTTACAAAGCAGCCTATGTGCAAATTAATGGAGTGCAAACTAAAACTGCTCCAAGTGCTGAAGGAATGCACAGCAATGGGGGGACAAGCTGTTGTGTGGCGGCCATGGCTGGGACCTGCCTTGCTTCGCCTCTGGCCTCAGTTGATACTCTGGGAGCCAAGGTCCCTGGGCTTCCTGCTGGGAAGAGAAAGGTGGGAGCTCAGCGTGCTCAGTTGGCCTTGACTCTGAGACAGAAAGGTAAAGAATCTCAAGTCAGAAGCAGAGGAGCTTCCATCCCCAGCCCAGAGCACTGGGCTGCCTCGGGGGGGTGCAGTACACTGGGTGCCATCCCTCCCTCTCCACCACCCTCCAGCTCCCCTGAGTGCTCCAGGGGTTCACACTTGACACCCTTCCTGCAGCACCAACCATGCTGAGGAGGAAGCTGGGCCCAGGGCTGCTGGATCAGGAGGGCTCTAGCTGGCTCAGCCCCAGCCCAGCCTCCCTGGCACTGGAATGAAGGGCCAGCAGAGGCACCAGGCTGAGTCTGAGTTGGCTCCAGGTCCAGGCCACAGCCCTGAGTCCGCTCCCCCAGCTTCCTTTACTCCCTGGGCTCCAGGTCTTTCCTTTCTCCCAGGTGTTCGCACATCTCTCCATCTGCATATTTTAACTCTCCCAGCTGCCTTTCCCATCCCTCCTTGCCATTTTCCTCCCCCCTCCCCTCCCCGTGGCCTGCTATGTTTGCTCTCTGGCCCGCTCTGGACTGGGGCTTCTGAGGCTCCTGTTTCAGCCTCAGGCCTACCTCCTTCCTGAGCTGGGAGCCCAGGCCTGGGGCTTCTTGGACCTCTTTCCTGCTGAGTACTTCAGCCAGCCACCCTGAGAGGAGCCTTGGTCACAGCCCCACAGGAAGAGGGTCTGTCCAGTGTCCCCACCAGCAGGTCCCGAGGACTGAGCCCATGGCCTGCTGTTCACCTGCCAGCGGGGGAGCTTCTCTCTTTCTCACCCTTCACTGCTCTCAGGGCTGTGGGCAGGGACCCTCGGGGCTGTGCTTCCAGGGACTCCACACCCTCTAGTCACTGCCACTGGAACAGGAGGGCAGCCCCATCCTTCCACAGCCTCCTCCAAGCGGGGGCTCCGGGCCCTGTATGAAGCTTGGAGAATGAGACTTGTGTCCCCTGCTCCTCCTCGTCTTGCTTGAGAAGTTCATCTCAGGGCCCTCTCAGCCTTACTCAGGCTAGCATGGAGTAGCACGGACTAGCATGAGTAGCATGGACTAGCATGGAGTAGAGAGAGAGGATGGAGATGCTGGATGGGCGTTGGAGGATCAGAGGGGTTTGAGCTTGATTTAGGCACCTTGGTCCTGCTGGTCAATCCTGTGGAAACTCCCCTTTCCAATAACTTAATTCAGGCCAAATTTAGCAGCTGGACAAACCTTGCGGTTTGGGCCAGTGGGAATGGCTGGAGGACAGGTGGGCTACGAGGATCCTACCTTCCTGCAGGTAACATGAGCAATAACAACAGCAATAATGACACGTAATTTCTGAGCACTTACTGCGTGCCAGGCCAGGGCTGACCCCTTTGCTAGCATAGGATTTGCAAGTAATGGCATCTTTATTAATACCTGAGCAGGAACATCCAAGGCCAGGGTTTGTCAGAAGTGTGGTCTGGGATCACCACCTTAGACTCATGGAGGGTTGATTAAAATGCACATTTCCAGGTCCAGTGCCCACTGAATCAGGCTTTCATGGTTGTAAGCAGCCCTCGGGCATTTGCATTTTTAACCAGCTGCCCAGCCCATCTGATGCACTTTAACTTTTGAAAACTACTCCCAATTTTGCTATCTTCTCGGGGCCAGCTGCTGTTGGGATTCTTGTCTCAAGAGGTGAGGGTATATGGGGTTTACTGCCCCCACATTGGGGCTCTGCCCCTCGGAGGGCCCCTTACCTGCCTGTGGCCATTGTCAGCCCTGCTGGGGGCAGCGGACAACACCCTGGATTATTTCCACTTCACACCAGGAGCCTGTCACGCAGAGGCTGACAGTTACTGAGGTCAGACTTAGTGCCTGCCCAACACCCGCTGGCAAATAGTCTAGTCATCCCAGGCCTCCCCAGGTGGAATGCTGTGGTCCCCGCTGAAGGGCCTAGTGTATTAAGCACAACAGGAAGCTCCGATGAACACAGTGCAGGCACATTGGCCAGCTGGTATATCCCCACGCTGTCTGGGGAGCCTGGGCCCTGGAGGAAGGTTTATCATGCCCCCTCCCATGCCCAGGAAACCAGCTCCGAAGCCAGCCATGGGGAGAGGGTGCCAGCTGTGTTGTGTTGGTGATGAAGCTGGCAAAGGGGACCAGCTGGGTTGACAGCACCCTCGGGGAGTCGGGTCCAGGCAGCAGCTCTGCCAGCCTCCTGCAGACTTGGCCTTGGATGAGTCACTGCCCCTCTGTTGCCCTTGGGTTGAAGTTGCCCTTGGGTTGAAGGTGACCAGTGCAGTGTCTTCTGTTCTCACACATAGAGGATGATCACCCCCTCCTGGCTGGTGCGTGCCCATGTTTATGTGCTTTGTCGTCTCCCCTGAACTTGGCACCTACTCTGGTTTCTTTGCTGTTTAATTATGTGCTGCCCTCGAGAGCAATCTTACCTTCCTATGTGTCTCCCCAGGAACAGGGGCCGACAGCCTCTTCTAGTAGCTCTCCCACATAGGGCCTTCTTGGCACGGGGCTGGATGCATGGTGGGTGGGTGCCCCGAAAGTGCTCATTCGTGACCTGAGTAGTTGAGGTTTCAGCCAGCAATGCCCTTCAAGGCAGGGCCTTGGGATGGGGCACCCATCGGGAAAGGCCCCAAAGACAGAACTCCGCTGTATCTGTTTAGCTGCACACTGGCACTGCCCCAGAACCATGCTTCCTGGGCCCAGAGACACAGTGGGACCCAGCATGGTGGCTGGCAGCCAGCCCACCCCACCTTCGGGTCTCATGGGGCTCCCTCCTCTCTCCCCCACAGGACGTCTCTCCTGCAGGCGCGCCCCCGGCTGCTCCTCCCTGTGCAAAGCCTCGTGTGCCTGGCAGCCTTCGGCCTGGCCCTGCCGCTGGCCATCAGCCTCTTCCCACAGATGTCAGAGGTCAGTGGGGAGGGGCTCAAGGGCAGGGCAGGGGGTGCTGTTTGGTGATTTCTGAACAAATACTCATACCGTGCCGACACCTTAGCGCTGTGCTAGGCACTGGGGCTGGAACCATAAATGAGGCTGGCCCAGGCTCTGGCCCTCAGAGTGGAGGTCACGCAGTCAACAGGGTGATTAAACAGAGGCCAGGAGATGATGAGCCAGGAGCGTTAGGGTGGGAGAAGCTCCACTGGGTGTGGAAGGAGACAGCAGACCAAACTGAGCCTAGAGGGAAGTGACATTTCACTGGGACTGGGAGTGTGGCTGGAGTTGGCCAGATGAAAAGGGGTGGCGGGGGGAGATGTGAGGTCTGCGGACACCTGGTGTGAAGTTTCTGAGGTAAGGTAGCACATGCCATGTCCAAGAGCTGACCAAAGTCTGCAGCACGACCAGGGAGTGCAGCAAGGTGACGTGGCCCGGGAATGAGGGGCTGGGGCTGGGTGGTGTTGGGAACTTGGAAGCCAGAACAGAGAGGGTGAATATTCTCCTAAGGGCTGTGCAAGGCAGAACACAGATTCCTGATTCTGAGTGGCCCCTGTGCTGCCGCATGGGACTGGGTTGGAGCTCTGGAGAAGGAACCGTCAGGAGGCTATGGCGGGCATCCAGTGAGCGGTGATGGTGGCTTGGACCAGGCTATTGGCAATGGGCATGGAGAGAAGTGGGTCCCTAAAGAGGGAGTCAGGAGGCGGCTTCTTTGGGATTCGATGAAGAGCTGTATGTGGTGGGAGGGAACGGGAGCCGGAGGATGTATGCTGACTTTGTGGTTTTGAATGACCAGGCAGATGTAGGTGCTTAACGAGATGGAGCCAGGCAGGGGCAGGTTCAAGGGAGGGCAGCGGGTCAGTTGGATGGACAGGCAGGGTTGAGGAGCCTTTGGGATGTTGGCTGTGGGTCTGGAATGAGGAGAGACGCCTGGGCTGGAGGGATAGAAGTAGAGGCTCCCAGCATGACAACAGTGCTAGAATCGAGGGTGGTGGGTGAGGCCCCTGCTCTGGCGGGGTCCAAGGACAAGCAGCCAGGGTGGTGAGGGCAGAGCCGGGCCATGTGTGATCAGGGTGGGTGGGCATCCGCAGGGTCAGACCCTCCCGAGAGGTCACACTCGGTGAGATTACAGAGTATCTATTGGTGTCTCAGGCAACGTAGTCAAACCCTGTCCCCAAAGAAGGGACCCAGGTGACAAGTGGGGAAAAAATGAGAAAGCCACAACAAGATGTGGGATCAGGAGGGGCTTTTATTTACGTATCTATCCTTGTTTAAAAATGGGAAAGACAGGGGCTTGGTCAATGCAGTAGGGAAGGCACCAGGAAAGATGTTGAGGACACTGAGAGGACGATGTTGGGAAAGTCCATGAAGAGGAGGGGGGGACCAGAGCACAGACGAGGGGATCAGCCTTGGCATGGGGAGACCCCTCCCCACTTCAGTAGGTGGAAGAGGAGTGGGGTGGGAGGAAGATGCTGCTGGGGGCAGGGTTCGGGGTGGGGAAATTGAAGAAGTTGTTCCAGTGGCTCCTGTGTTCTTGTGACTGAGCAGAGAGGAGAGAGCAGGATGGGGAAGGGGCGGGAGGTCAGAGGTCTGAGGACACAGAGAAGGGGTGAGACATCCAGGGGAGAATGAGAGGTGAGGGAGGCTGAGCAGCACGTGGTCTGGGGGTGCGGCTGGGGCCCGTTCACCAGGAGGTGCTATGGGCCAGTACAGGGAGGGCCACAGATCCTTTCTGCTGGGGTTCTGTCAGGTTGGGGGTAGGGGGTGCTGAGAGATGGGTGACAGCACAGAGGAGCAGAGGACCACGGGATCCATACTGGGTTGGAGTGAAGGTGGGAGCTAAGCTGAGGGGGAGGACCCAAGAGGGCCAAGATGTCTGCACTGAGCTCACAAGAAGGCGGGGGCTGTGGTGCTTCCAAAACTATGATTTCACCACGGACCTGCTTCAGGCAGGGCCCCAAGAGAGGTGGGGGAGAGGTGAGGGTTCCTGAAGACAAGTCAGGGAAGTGAAAACAAGAGGCCGGGGGTGTTGGGGCTGCGAGGGCTGGAGACCCAGGCTCTTAGAGCAGGAGGAGGGGGTGACCCGCCTTAGGCCTCACCGTCCCTGGAAGGCGAAAAATGGGGTGGCTTCCTTCCAGAGCCCCAGAGTTTGAGGAGGAGACTCTGTGGGAGGAGTGGGGCTCCTGTCTTGGGAGCCACCATTCAAGGCATACCAGGACTAAAGCCAGCAGGACCTCATCTCGTGCCCACAGGGCCCAGCCTTGTCATGGGTGCTGGGATGCTCCTTCCCCCACCTCCCACCCTGGGAAAGCTGCAGCCTGGGACTCCAAATGGAGCCATGGGCTCTGGGTTACCTAGGAGCCCTGAAGAGGGAAGGGCGGGTATTTCTCAGTGATCTCTGATATCCCTGTCCCAGCCCAGCACTCCCCGAAGCCATTGCATCTGTCTGTGCAATCAGCCTGAGCCCAGGGTCCTAGACCAGGGCCAGAGTCACCCATGTGCTTGTAGGTACCTCTGCGCTTCTTGCAGCTGTCATAACTCCACCTGCCTGCACAGAGAAGGGACCCGGGCAAAGACAACACATGATGTGGAATCAGAGACCCTCCTAGCTAGAAGGATTTTCAAGGCCATCAAGTTTACCTTGCTCCTGGCTGTGCTGGGCAAATGGTGGCCCAGAAAAGCCATGGGACCAGCCCAAGCCAGGTGCCGATAGGAGAGGAAACACCAGAGGCCCGCAGTCCAAGTCCAGGCCCCTAGGAGGTGCTACATCTGATCGTTTCCTGTGGCTGAGTTTCTCTCCCTAGACAACCACCTTACCTACCTTGGGACAGCCAAGAGAAGAGGAAGCTGGGGGCTGCACTGTGGTGTGGAAGGGTCTAGAAGTGCTGTAGGTCTTTGGCAGGTGTTCCTCTGGGGCATATAATGGGGAGATGGCTACCATTCATCCACCCAGGCCTCCAGCTCTGGCTGCAAAGCAGTGATGGAAAAGTGAGCCACCCTGGTCTCACAGATGCTGCAGGTCAAAGCCCAGGCTCCCCTCTCCCCACATGCCTACTTCAAATAGACATGGGAGTTAGTTCTTCTGAATATTTAACCAGAGTCCCTCTTATTGCAATCCGAGTCTCTTTCTCTAGATTGGGAAGAGGATAGTCGTTGCATGTTAAGTCTTTGTCCTCTGGGAAGGGAGGGTAGAGGCAGGATTTTCAGAGCTCCCTCCTCGACTACGTGGATCCCAACAAGATGCAGAGTAGCCTGGGCATTATGGGGTGTTTGGAGCCCTGTTTGGGACCCATGGCACCAAAGCCTTCAGCCAACTTGCTGAGAGGGCCTTGTTTCCCCATTCACTCTCCCAATTCTCCCTAACAAGGTGCTGCTTCTGCCATACAACGATCATGTCTCAAGTCCCAGAAGCCAGTGGAATTTGCCACAATAAGTCTGGACTTGCTTGGGCTGACCCAACCTTGCCAAAAGCCACCAAGGTTGTCAACAGAAGTAATCACTGGAACACCAATTAATTAATCAGGGGACTCGGAGATAGAATTTAGGAACTGGTTCCTAGAATGGCTGACCTGCAGTGATTGGTGTGGAGTTTCCAACTCACTAACCCCAGATATTAAGGCAAGGACTTCAATCCTTCCTTCAGTTCCTGGGGGAGAGTTTTGTCTGCTAATTTCTGCCTATTAAAATGGTACTGAGGGTCAAATTGCAAATAATAATGGCTACCATTTGCCAGATATCTATTGGACCAGGCAGCATGCTGGGAGCTCGGCGTGCCTTACTGTATTAAGTCTTCCTAATGCCATTTAAGTCTAAATCATTGAACATCAAAAGATGATTCCTAGACAGTCAGATGGTTCTGGGGAGAGAGTTTGGCCGGAGATATGGAATTCAGTGCATGGGGGGAGTTGAAGTTGAGAAAGGGGATGCAGTCAACTATAGGAGGAAATAAAAACCATCAAGAAGGGGAAGAAGCAGCCAAGGGCACAGGGAGAACCCGGATGGAGTAGCTTCATGGAAGCTGAGGACTCGGGTGATTCAAAGAGGAGGGGCTCTCTGCAGAGTGGGTGAGTGCAGAGGGGACTAGAAGGAGTGGAGGAGACTTAGGTGGCATAGCTAGACATGGCAGTCTAGGAGGCAACATGGTAGTCAGTTTTTTCTTTGTTCAAAGAATTGAGCTCAGGGATGGGGAAGGTGGGAGAACAGCAAAGAAATTGTGAGATAGAGGTTGGGGGGCTTGGAGAGAGGGCAGCGATGGGGAAGGAATGCCCAGAGCCCAAGGCGGGAAGGCATGGCCTCCGTGGAGTCCCTGGGTCCAGTGAGTAGAGGGGGCTACCTGGCTGTGGTGGAGAAATGGGGGCCTAGATCCTGAGAATTCTCCAAGGTAGGTACCAATATTTCTTGTTTACCAATGAGGAAACTGAGGCACATTGAGTTTAAGTACCTTGTCCAAGATCCAAAGTTGGTGACGATGGAGCAGGCTTTGTACCCAGGCAGAAGGATTCTGTGATCCTCCCCAGCCCACCCACACCTCACTATAGAAAGACGAGGCCCACTTCTGGGCTGCAGACTGCTTGCTGCTAATTCATCAGCAGGAACATCCCAGTGCCCTCACCCAGCCCTCCTCCCCTCCACAGGAAATCTGTGCATTTTCACAGAGACCTTTTGGAGTAAGTGTTTGTCTTTTCCAACCCAGAGCCGAGGAAGGGGCTGGGCAGTAGAGGGGCTGGAGGGAGGCTAAAGGGCCAACAGGTAGGGCAGGGAACCTCCTGTTGTTGTGAGAACTGGGGAACAGGGCTTGGGCTCCCTTCTGGACCCCAGTCCTCTTGCCCATGCAGGGAGTACAGGGTCTGCCCTGGCGGATCTAGTGGATCTGGAGGTTACTGCTGTAGGCCTGCCCCACCAGCCTGTCCCCAAACATGGACGGGCCCATCACACCCAGAATCTGCTCCCTGCCCCATGAAGCCTGGGCACTTTCCCCT